TGTTTATGGGAATAAGGGGTTTCCTAAGATGGAGGTAACAGTGCAAAAGCATCTAATGTTTTTGGCATTTAACAGTCTCTCCTTTAAAAATCAAGGGTCATGGGCCTCCCTGGTGGCGCAAGGGGTTAAGCACCGCACTATGAAGCAATCTGCAGCCTCTGCAGCATGACTTCGATCCCGGGCCAGCCAGGTAGCAATCCACATGGCGAGGCAGACCTCTCCTGTCTCACCCGCTGCTACCCTCAATGGTGTATTTCAGTCAGTCTGCCTGTTCTGTTCCCCACTCTGTCTCTGGTGAATCCTCTCACCCCCTGCATATCTGGCCTGTACCCCAGCTCTTGTATGCATAAATAAATAAATCTTTAAAAATAAATAAATAAATAAATGTCAAATTCATGAAATATCACCTAACTTAATTAGGACAATGTAAGACTTTAACACATGTATGACAGAGGGGTCAACTTGAGCACACAAATGCTTACTAAACATGTACCAGTTAATGTATCAGGTACTTTAAGGGACATACAGATCAATAAGTCATGATATCTTTATCAAGGAAGTTAAATTCACTGCAGGTGGTGGACAATTTCAAAGAGCTAGCTAGTCCAAACAAATTATAACAGATACTAAAATGGAGGTATAAGCAGAGTTATAAAAATACAGAGGAGAGATAAAATCAGAGAAGTTTGACTTAACAAGGAAAGCTTTGTGGTGAGGTAGCACCTGAACTTGGTTGATATTGATTGATCCATATCACACCTGTAAGCATGATGCCCTTGCCATTATTTTTTAACTTATGAATGTAAATATAAGATATAAACAGAAAAGTACAGAAGTCATTTACATGTATTTCGATGAACTGTCACCAAATGAGCACACTTGTATAATTACTACCAGGGCTGTGAAATAGAATATGACCCTTTTCTCAGAAACCTCTTGTCTCCACCCAACATTTTCCCTCCCTGCTTCCTAAAGGTTCGTTCTTTCCTATTTCTCATACATCAGATTTGTTTTGCCAGATTTTGGAAAAGTGGAATTTTATAGTATATTTTTACATGTCTTATTTCTTTGTTTAAAATTATTTCCATGAGAATCACCCACACATCTATAATTTATTCTTTTTCATTATTGCATAGTTTTCCATTGTATGAATATACTAATTTATGGATCCATTTTACTGTTAAAGATATGTGAATAATTTCAAGTTTTTGGCAACTTCAAATATTGCTATTTTTGTACGTATTATTGGTGAGCCTGGCAATACCTCTCCATTTGAATGTGCCCTGGAATTACATTTCTTTTTTTTTTTTAATTATTTTTTTATAGAGGCATGTTTATTTATTTATTTGTTTGTTTGTTTGTTTATACATGCACTGGATACAGTCAGAAGCGCGGGAAGGTGAGAGAATTCACCCCAGCCAGAGTGGGGAGCAGAGCAGGCAGAAGGACCGAAATACACTGCTGAGGGGAGCAGCGGGTGGCAGGAGAGGTCTGCGTGCCATGTGGGATCCTCCTCCGGTGGCTGGGGAGCAGCTGGGGATCGAACCGGCGCCGCAGAGGCCGCGGGCAGCTTCGCAACCCAGCGCTCAACCGCTGTGCCACCGAGGAGGCCCTGGAATTACATTTCTTAATTCAGTTTAATTCCATGAAACTTTCAAAGACTGAATGCATATGAAAGTCCACATTTATTCCTGCCTGGAGGTAAAATCTTTGAATCTGAGGAATGGATGTGGTGAACTCAAACTGGGAGGACTGATAAAATAGGGTACACAGGTAAGACATGCTTGCTGTGAAGACACAAGGGATGCAGGTGTGGTGACCATAATCAGAGCAGATGTCTCCCCGGTAACGTGACAGAACCCCTGGGGCTTGGAAATGAGTCTGGAATTAAAGTGAACCATGATCCAACTTTGACTTTCATCTTAATCACAAACTCTAGCCAAGCTGGGCCCATGTGCTCTGGCAAGACTTTCTGTGTAACTTGAATCAGGTTTCATCCCTGATTTATTAGGATTTTTTCAAATTGCTAATACCATTATTCTACTCCCATCCATTTCATCAACAGCAGTTTAAACTCAGTTGTCTTGAATCAGTCACAAACAGTCCCAAAGGTTTATTTGGCCTTATATTTCTTAACACAATTTACGGCATTCAAATATTGAGTTAGATTTTGGGATGACATTCATCAAACCTGCTGTAATATGCCCTTGGTTTTTTTCTCATCATCCCTGTCATCTATCTTGGCAGTAAGAGTGCTGCTGCTTTTACCTCTGTTCCATATGATCAGATCAAATCACTTTATCTTTCCTAGGCTTATATTTCAGCATTATCTAAGAATTCATCTACATGTACTGCTTAAATTTCATTCCTCTATAAAGTCTTATAATCAATTCAGCTCTTCAAATATATTTTACTCCAGGATATATCCCAAATGTGGTCATTTTACCTTTCAAAATGTCAGAATTGTTTACAAGGGTAAGGGATGTTATATTTGCCAAAGCAAAGATCAACTCTTCTGGACCTGAAAGGATCCATGGAGACAAAGGACTAAAATACTGGGATTTAGGCAGAGAAAAATAATCTCATTTATAGAGCTCATTGTCCAGACTGAGGCACTTTTCAATAGTGGAATCCACAGGTCTCCTTAGAGGCAGAATTCCCAAGATTGATGGAGATTGGGCTGTTCCATCCTGAGTCCTCATAGATTCTACCGGAGGAATAATCTAGGCCAACCCCACTTATTTCACAACTTGGGAATCTGAGATCTGAAGAAACTACAACAAATGAAGCTTACAATTCTAGTAAAGTTACCAGTCAACTTCAGCTGTGCCTTGTGGGTGCTTTACCATCAGCCAGTCCTTTGTCACAAACCCCCACATTGTGCAGAATCTAAGGGGGAAAGAGTTCAGGCTCTGAGCACAGGAAACCTGGAGTTTGCACTGAGACTTTACCATCAAACATTGCATTGTGCCCTTTAAATTGAAGTCTAACACTGCCTTTGTGGAAAAAGCGAAGCACATATAGCACACGGAACATTTTGGAGCTTGTTAAATGGCAGCTAAACAGCAATTTTGAAGAGCCAGGAAGCAATATGTGGACACCAGGCTTTGGGAGAAGAGGCTGGGAGTTGGGATATTGTCTGCTTGCCCCCTCAGGAGCGCCCCAGGCCAATTTGAATCTTAATCTCCATACAGAGATGGTAGAGAGAGGCAGGAAGGAAAATGCAAGCCACTCCCTGTTGAGAGGTGGCAGTTCTAATAATTAAGGTGAAACTGAGGCCCCACGGTGTGGACTTAAGGGCAAGACTGCATTTTCTTCTGGGCCTTTGGAAAAACATGGCGCTTTTCCCCTCCCTCGGGCAGCCCCTCCCTCGGGCACTAGGCAGGTTAAAATGGCCCAATTGGTCACTTACAATTGAAAATGGTCCTCTTGGGCTGGTATCCACTAGGGTAGGCCCTGACAGAGGGTCTAGGGAGGGCAGAAGCCCGCTTGGGACGCCTGCACACCCCGACTCCCAGGCTCCCAGACGCCTGCCCCTGTGCACCTGGCCTCCACCAGAAGGAAGAAGCATCCAGCGACCCACCTCTGAGGAGAGAGGCCGATGAGCTTTGCAGTGACTGGCGGCTGCACCGCCTCCGGCCCTCCTGCTGCCACCAACTGAAAAGCCCCAGGACTGGTGTCTCCAAGAGCTGTTCATCTGGCCGCTGCCTCCTTCACTGTCTGGTGCAGCATCCGGTCCCTCCAGCGAGGCGCCTCCAGCTGTGGCGAGTTAGATCCCGGCGCATTCCACGCCCTCCTTGGCGGGGTGGCACCATCTTGGATAAATGACCTTCTGTTTGGGACTTCTGGACACTTGGGACACTATTAGGGTGAGCGAGTTGGCCGCTTGTGGCCTTAGAAATTCTTTGTTTCCCTTTGTTCCTTCTTTGTCTGTTAAATTGTTGCAGAAATAAATTGTAGCAGGCAGGGGAAGAACAAGCGGGACTTGGGACTTCAAGAATGATGAGGTCAGGAGAAGCGTTATTATTCATGCATGAGGTCCCAGACCTGGGTAGCCCCGTAAGGTCTGAGCACCAGTCTGGGGACAAAGGGTCTCTTTTATGCATAACCACTTTACATTGATAACATTGGTTAGTTCGCATATAAATTTTTGACACAGAAAAAGGGGAAGGATGGGGATCTTTGAGGATGGCCTGGGAGATCAATCAGCCTAGCAGGCTGCCAGACCGTGTTTAGATATGCTTATTAAGGAAGCAAACTTGTTATTTACTTTACATTTCCAGGTCTATGACTCTTTAACAGGGAAAGATTCCCTTTCTTAGCAGTTCTGTTTTGAAATAAACCCCATTTGTGGGGTTTATTTGTGGTACCCTTAGCCGAGTGTGCTCAGGTGAGAACCCACAGGCGGTGACTAGTTCTCTGTTGGTCCTTTGATCTGCTATTGCTCTGTTTCAAAGGGAACTTACATTGAGGCTTTGCTCAGGGCAAATGCGGGACAACGCATTTTCTGCACCTGCCCACCAAATCTTAAAAGTTCATAGAGGCTTTGGGCCTCTCTGCTGGCGCAAGGGGTTAAGCACCACACTATGAAGCTATCCACAGCCTCTGCAGCACGAGTTCGATCCCCGGCCGGCCAGGGAGCAACCCACATGGCCCAGCAGACCTCTCCTGTCTCGCCTGCTGCTCTGTTCAGTCTGTCTGTTCTGTTCCCCACTGTGTCTCTGGTGAATCCTCTCAGCCCCCGCATCTCTGGCCTGTGCCCCAGCTCTCGTATGCACAGATGAATGAATCTTTAAAAAAAAAAAAAGTTCATAGAGGCTTTATTTGGGTTTAATCGTAGGCGTTAACCAGATGGCCTCCACAACGCAAGGTTATTTCAGGGATATGTCCTTGGGCTGCTTCTGGGAGTGGGAAAGGGAGAGTAAGTGGGGCGCACATTCCAAGAACAGGGAAGGGGGCAAAAAGCCCCCCAGGGCCTGGGTCCAGCTGCTAGGAGGCCAACAGGAGGGTCACTGTTGTCTGGAGGCAGGTGGAGGCTGAGGACAAACTGAGAAACCTATGAAAACCATGAGCTAATCTGGCACAGTCGACCAGTGCCTGGTTTAAGACTGCAGGAGATTAAGATTTGGAAGCCCGAGGAGCTCAGTTTGTCAAACCACATTGCTCAGACAATTCAATTTCCTGTCGTTCTCCAGGATTTGCCCAGTATCACCACCTCGTTCTTGTTCCCCTCCTGCAGAGTGGAAGAGCAGAGAAAGAAAAGTGAAAGAAGTAAAGATGTTGGCTGGAGCCTGCCACCTCTTTCAGAGAGAACGTTAGATCACCCTGAAAGGTATTTCCTCCCTCCCTGGCCTTTATTACCTTTGTTACTGGGCAGTGCACCTAGAGTTGGTTGTCTGTGTGCTTCTCACAGACAGAAGTCCTGTAGCTCTATCATACACACCTCCAACGGTGCTGGGCAGAGGGATAAACCTTTAATAAGTCACTTGTAAAGGTGGGTGGCTGGAAGAAAGTTGAGAGATAAACTCATTTTCTTAGTAAGAAGTTGGACCAAGGAAAGGAACTGAAGCGAGGGCAGCAGCTTTCCTTTTGCTGGGTGTAAGAGGGGGTTTAACAGTGTTTCAGAGTCTCACAATTCAATCTCCCATCCTCCTTCCTAATAGTGCTTTATGGCACTCTGTTCTCTGTGAGCGCAAGGGCAGACTAAGGCTTCTGTTTTCACACCACCTCCCTGCTGAATCTTGCAGTCCTGCCTCAGTGAATGGCAACACAGGTCCCTGTCACCTCACCATGTGAGAGAACCATTTCCTCTTCCTTGAAACTTTCATATGGCCTTTGTTATCCTGCTAGGCCAGTTCCCAAGTGAAGTCGAATATCCAGTTTGGAAGTGAACACATGGCCATGTGATTTCATACATTCTTGCTAGAAGAACTGGAAAAGTCTGTCTTCAGAAATATACAGCTGCAGCTGAGATCCAAGACAGGGGTTTAGTAGCAGACAATAGCAGGGACAAAAATATATGCTATGTGAATATTTAGGTTCCCAAACTCAGATGACTATGGCCATAGCTGGGCATGTTAATGCCACTGTCTGCAATAGCTGAGTCTCCACAAATACCACAGCCTCTTACTCATCAGTGGCATTGTGTTTCCAATGCCATGTTGGTTACGCAAGACTGCTTGCTACTTGGCACTGTTTCCATGTGTGAATATCTCCCTTGAAGATTTCCCCATCTGGCAGCTGCCCAGGCAGTCATGCCCTGGTGTGCTTGGTGGTGTTCCTACAAGGGGGTCAGGCCACTGAAATGTGACACCTGCCTGTGGGCTATGCGGGAAATAACCAGGCAAAGCAAAAGGTCACAGGACATGGATGCAAAGAAATAAATTAAATATGTTGCATGCTGCTGGTGTAGCCAGGTGACAGAAGCCCATCTGGATATAATCTATTCCTTACAAATAGAATCAGGAATCCAAGAAGTGACAGATGCACAGATGTGGGATTTTTATCCCATATCAGTGAACTTGCAAAATTTAGATTCTCTATAGTGTTCCACACTTGGGATATTCACCCATCTAAGATTAATATCTTCTCAGCTGACGCCATAAACTTCACCACACCTTCCTGGATTTGAAAGTGTTAACCAATTTAATCACATGCTAGTCTCTAGCAGATGCATAAGGAGAAAAGTGAGAGTTGCTGTATCTTCATGCTGGTGACCTCTGGTAGCTTAATTAAAATGTTTGGGGGGGAAGGTATATGGTAAATAGAAGTTTTAATTTTCTTTTGTGGCTAAAAATGATATATTATTTCATCTCAACACAAATAGAACCCTGATTTATGTTCACAATTTTCATAGGTGATTTACTATACTTTTGACAGTTCAAACTCACACTGGGTAATTGTTCCCCCTCCAGTGGGAAGCTGGAAGGGAGAGGGGAGTCTAGTGCCTATGTGTGAGCAAGACTCAGTTGCTCTTGTCATCCCTAAGAGTGATCCAGCTCCCAATGGTGGGACAGTGGGTAGGCTGAAGTTGAATGCTCAGCAGAGTGGATTGCTGGAAGAATGATTCCAGATCCCTTAGCCCAAGTCCTCAAACCCTTGTTTGTAAGGATATCTTGTGAAGTGGCCCTGACATTTTACCTCACCTCTCTACATCTCACTTACCTCATCTGTAAAATGGAAATAATAATAGGACCTATCCAGTGGTGTGCTGGGATCAAGTCTCACTACTTCTCTTCCCAACTCCAATTCCATGACTTCAGATTGGTGAGATTATAAATGGCCAGGTGGTAGTATTTACGCTATGAAAATTGGCATGTGTTATAGGCCAGAGTATTTTCTTTTTGGAAATTCAGCTATCAAACATTTTATGAAGAATGCGTAAGATGGTTCATGTGCAAGAGCTTCACAATGCCACACACTGTAGGCACCTGAGAATTGGGAATTCTTACCATATTTCATAGACTCCAGGACTTTGTATTTACATTTTCATATCTATGAAACCAGATGTGACTGATAATTGGCAACATTTTCCCTCTGTCGCTTACAAAATAATGAGTCGTGTTACATTTAAAGGAGTGTTAGGAGTTAATGAAACGTTATCATTTTCATTACTGTTGTACCATTAGCAGCACCCGCAGCATCATTATATATACTGGGTTTTTAGTAACATTCCAAGTGGATGATCCTCAAAACGAGAGTAAGAACACCCCAAAGTCCCACCAAACCTACAGAAACATCCAACTGATTCTAGGGGACACCTTGCCAAAGACAAACTTCCTGTCTTCACCCTTACCTATAACTGGCAGCTCCCGCTTCCACGCCCACCCCCAAGCTCTCTTGCGCTCAGTCCTCCCACTCAGGAGTAATCACTGGGGACTCTTGGCATGCTTGAGACGCTCTAGTAAATGTGACCCTGCCTCTGAGCTTTGCACAGGCATCCAGACATCTCACCCTGGGAGCTGAAATACCAGTAAATGGCATTAGTGGTGTCTGAACTGGCAGAAGAAGAGGACTCAGTGCTCACAAGTCTTTCCTGACACCAAATCCCCTCCACAGTTGCTGCTTTTAGAAGTGCCAGTTTTACAAAGCCTGTCTACCTGTGGATATTTTCTGGTGGCTGACAATAACTGGGACATGTTTGTCGAATAAGTAAATGCAAGGTAAGTACACAAACAGTAAGTGCAAAACAGTAGTAAAGATATACTAAATATGAACGTTTTAATATATGACACCGTGGAGTATTATTTATGATGTAGTGAATGATACTCAAGTATCATACTGGTGAAATATAAATTGTTGTGCTCTTTTAAAGGACGGTGGCTGGTGCAAATTAAAATGTAGGTGGAATGCTACCCTGTATTCTTAGATTAGCCTATGAAGTTACTTTTTAAAAATAAAAATAAGAAAGGGTAAAAATAAAAGTAAAATAAAAATAAAATGTCTTATGAGCCTGCCATGGAAGTCTCTCTTTGTGAGTGCTTTAGAAGCACTCACACTCAGGCACAAACTGGAGAGCACAGGATGCTCACGGTTTTGTCATCCTGGCGGCAAAACTATAAACAGCCTAAATATTTACTTATAAGGAATAGGTTAGTAAACCCTGCAGTGCTCATCACATTCTTTATATGGCAGTGAAGAGTGAGGTCAACTTGTGTACGCTGACAAGGAAAGAAATATTAGTGGAGAAGAAAGCCCTTTACTGAAGAGTACACACAATATGATAATATTTAAATCCTTAACACATGAAATGAAACCATTGTTTTGGATTTTCTTATATGAGCTTAAATGCAGAGGAACAATTACTTTTGGGAACGTGGATGCAGTGGGATGCTTATTGCCAAGGCAGAAAGTAGCTTTATTTTTTATGAGTGAATTAAAAATTTTATAACCCTAAGGTTTTCATGTATTATTTGTGTAATTAAAAATTTTATATAAATAAATGAATAAAAGGGAAACCTAGCCAATGGAAGCTCAAGCTGAGGCATAAATTCCTGCAGCAGCTATGGGAGCAGAGCTGGGGAGGGGCTGAGGAGCCCTCACCGTGAGCAGCCAAACCCAGCAATGCAAAGTGGCTGAGGGGGCTGTGCTTGGAGAGATGATGGGCAGAGACAGAGACACAGGGAGCCCTGCCCCTCAGGGGCTGGTGGGAGCCAGTGGCTGTCCGGGGGCCATTTTCTTCCCCCTCACCATTGCCAATGGGAAGGGGTCGGGGCAAAAGGGGCAGCATAGGACAGGAGAGAGGAAGGAGACTGGAATTAGGAGACAAATGTGACTATGTCATATTTGTACTAAGAGCCGGACCTTACTATAGTTGAGAATTCTCAGAATATAATGGTTTTTCACCTCTTATCCCCTCTGTTCTGCACAGGCTGATCTCACTGGGGCAGGCAGCACACTCCAAACTGCCTTACACTATGGAGTCATAGAGTCAGTTGGAACTCAAAATGTTACCTTAGTCACTCCCTGGCAGGCAGTTAGGAATTAAGCAGGCCCTAGGAGAGATAATCACAAGACACATAGAAATTTCTTTTTTCTTGCTTGAAAGCCAAACCATTTCTTCCCTTTGCAAGTACAAGTTCTTATTTCTTTCCTAAATTTCTTTTTCCTTCTTTGGAAGCTAAATCATTTCTTCCCTTTGCAAGTCCAAGTTCTTATTTCTTTCCTAAATTTTTTTCACAGGATGGGATTCTACCACCTTGCTTAGTTTCCATTCATCCACCCCTTCAATCACATTTATTTAGCAACAACTACATGTGGATAGTCCTACTGATACCGGAATTGTCGGGCCTAGTCTCCCAGCCAGGAACAGATCCCAGGCTGCAGGTGCAGCGCTGAGTCCCAGCCACTAGACCACCATGGGTTGGTGTCTCACGAAGCCGCAGCAGGAACTTCGCAGATGTTCAGGCAAGCAAGCGAGAAGAGGAAGGTTTGTTTAAAGAAAGAAAAAGTTTATTGAGGAGAAAAGGAACAGAAATAAAGTGAGACTCCCTGGCCATGAAACCAGGCCAGGGAGGGGCAAGGAAGCCAAAGCGGAGTTGTGTCTCAGGGAATATAGACCTTCTTTCCCTCATTATTCTAAAGCTCCTCTGGTCACTTTGTGATTGGTTAGTTCTCTGCTGTCTCACTTAATCTGCTGCTGAGCGGGGGATTTTTACATTCCTTATCTAACAGGTTTGTAGTCTCCCAAATGAGCACCCCTGCATTTTAGGAAAAAGAAAGTCAAACATCAGCTATTGAAGAAAAACAGGCTGGTGCCCACCAGTCTCAGTGTTGACCCCTTCTCATCTCCCCCTTGCATAAATATCCCTGCACTCTGTCAAAGGGCAGGACGGTGGTCTACCAGACATGAGTCTGCTGCCCTCCTAATTTGTCCATAAATTAAACTACTCCCTGTTCCCCAAACTCCACCTCCCTTTATCACCTGAGGGAAACCTACACCAGTGTTAACAATGTTGTCCTTGGTCCTGGGATGTTTGTTTATTATTCCCAGTGGAATTAGTTACATGCCTCTTGTTGCCCTTATCTCTGAAGCTTTCCTTAATTCTCCCGAGGTCCCCACCTGCACTGTCCTTGAGGCTGCCTAATTCTCCCTAACTTGCCCTTGGATTCACTACAGGGCACTGATTTTTAAGGGTGGAGACTTTCAAAGGAGGCTTTGAGGAAGTAAAACAAAGAACATTATGAATGTGTTGGGAATCTCCTGACAACCATTTGGGATGTGAGTAGGGTGACTGGAGGAAGGAGCAAGCACACTCCAGACTAAAGGAAAGGTAGCGACTGCCACTGGTTTAATAACTCCAACTCCTCCGTTCTCACACCGGGGGAAAAAAAAAGTATAGGAAGCAACTCTCAACTTAGTGTTAAAGAAGTGACTTAGAAGTGACTTAGAATCCTATAGGATGCTGGATGAGATTTTTACAAAGCACAGGAGCATCATTCTGAATGACTTTTTGCTTGCTAATGAAATACCAATAAAGACTATGGAGGCAGTAATGCAGCCAGGTGTGTCCCGCGGGAAACAATTTCTGGTGAAGGGAAACTTGATTAAAAGCGGATTGGTGTTTTTCACTTCCACACCATGGACACCTCGACAAAGTCTGATGTGCTCAGGAATGACTCATTGTAGTGCCAGCAAACAGCAAGAAATGGGGCAGTTTCTCTGTTGATTCAGGAGATGGGTAAAGGAGGGTCCTGGAGCCCTTAATGGATTTTTTCAAGCTTTTAATGATCTTTCTACACGGCTTATAGTGAGGCAACCAGGTGCAGGGCAGGCAGGGGGTGAAGGGGCTGGCAGGCCTCCCAGCTTCCAGCAGGATCTTTACACTTTTGGGGTCTCTCTGGCGTCATCTCGTGGTCCTGCCTCTTTGTGGTCACTCTGCCGCACCATCTTCTGTGATGCTGCTCTTATAGCCTGTTTCTCAGCTCAGGTGTGCCCACTCATGCGTAACACACTCCAGGTGTCCACCATCAGGCGTGCATGCCCCGAGCCCACACTCCCAAGCACCTCCTGCATTCAAGGCCGCAGGTGATAACCGCAGAGGCTGATGGCGCAAAAGAACTGACCATCACTTAGCCTACACTCATCCAAACTGAAGGTCAGGAACTAAGTTTCCCCAAAACACTCTCTTGGAAGCCTCTACCTCCATGACCAGCCTTTGCAATTTTAATTCAAACATAGCTCTTATAGCTCTCCCATGCTCAATAAAAGCAATTGCAAGCTTTACATTTCTTTCAAATGACTTGCCACTTTTACTCCAGACAAGGAAGCCCAGCGATGAATCACGCTGCCTACCAGAAAATGAGGTCATTTGGACTGCTGGGTAAAGGGGCCTGCTAGGGATTTCAGTAGCCTTGGCGGGAGTATGTGGAAGAATCCTGAAGAGGCTCTCGGCGGGTGCCAATTTCTCACTCCGTTAGGCTCTGAGTCCTGCCCAGTTTCATCGTTACTTTTGTAAGAGGTTTGTTCACCTAGTAGAATTTGTTGGTGATATTCAGTCACTTAAGTAAACTATGAACACCCACACAACAGAAGTTCATAGAGTAGCTATTGTGTGTCTATTTAGAACCTAAGACTGGGATGGGGTAAAGAGACAACCAGAAAATGGGCACTAAAGAACTGACAGACACTTGATTGGAGCCAGAGCAGCATGCTGGTCCTTAGAGAGAGGCCCTAGAAATACCCAGGCTGGGTTGGATCTACCTTGTCCTCACTAGTTGGATGACTTTGGCCTGTTTCTCTATCTCAATTTACTCTTCTGTAAAAAGGAACAAAAAATATTTTCATCAGGTGGTTAAGATTAAATGAAGAAGAATTTTAAAAGTTAGGGATGGAGCATTTATTACAAAGAAAATGATCCATTGTTGTTACAGAGCAGCCAAGTTAGACTGCCAGGCATCTTCTTATGAGTGAGAAGGGAAAACCAGCATTGTAGAATAAGGTCAGTGTAAATTTCAGCTTTATAGACCTCCTGAGGGCAACACCTCATAAGTAAATGAATTTTGGTTTCCTTGGCTCAATTCTACTAGGTGAGAACTTGAATTTTTCAAGCATTTAAGATATGAAAATCACCCTTTTGCAGAAATAAAGTAAAAAGAAAAAAAATCAGAATCTGAAAACAGATGCATTCTATTGGGATGTAAATTAAACCTTTTAAGAGGCTTTTCAGAGGTAGCTTTTCAGGATAATTGCATTGCAAGGACTAAAGGCCAATCACACTTTAACCCAAAAGTCACCTAACTGTGGATACAAACCCGGTCACATCTAAATTGATGCCATAATTATAGTGCCTCTGAATTCAATAGATGCTCATGAAAATCTTCCGTGCCCTTTGCCCCAGTTATTGCTGGCAGACTCTGAGGGGTGTCTCCTTGTGACATGGGGACAGGAATGACAATTGCCATCATCTCTCTTTGTCTCTCCCTCCCCACCCCACCTGCCCCAGCTGGTGGCCTATAAAAGAAACTCACCTGTGACCCTAATGCTGCTCCTGCCCTGCAAAAGATTTCTGGCTCCATATCCAAGGGTGTTGTCTCCTGTGACCGCAAAGCTTTCACTTCCTGGGGAGCCGGAGTAGTAGAGGTAGTATGAGTGGGGCCTCACTTTATACTCTGGGTTTAGCAGCCATTGTGTATGTGACCAGTCTCAGTTCTGTTTCCTTAGGCCCTTGACCAGCAATATTACTGAGGCATTTAGCTGACCTGACAGAAAACAGATATCTGCAAGGTCCTCATCTCCCTTCTCAGCAGTTCCAGCTCTAAACACACTTCCCTACTCCCCAAATTCTAAAAAGCCCTCCTCCCCCGACTCCTCAGGGCATCATCAAACAGATCCCACGAATCTTCTTGCTAGGAGGGAACAAACATGGGCCCGATTAGCCAGAGGCCTTGTTATGCTGCTAAGCAGGGCTGCTGAAGTCATTGGCTTGGCCTTATTGGCCTATAAACCTAAAATAAGGTTTTCATTAAACTGTGCAAAAAAAAAAAAAAAACCCAAAACCCTGGAGTAGCGCCCTGATTGTGTTCCAAGTTCCACAATTTTCCTCCCTATAGGACCTGGTTAAAGTGACTGAGGCATAAATGATGAAAGCTGTCTAATTGATGAAAGACATAAATATTCCAAAATGGGAAATGTAAGAGTTTGCTACAGGTAAACTAATATTATAAATATTCATTACAAGCTGATGCAAGATAGCAGGTTATCTCAGTAACAATTCCTTCAAAGGATTGGTTGGTGATAGCTATGATGTATATATCAGTTAAAATTTTCTGGTTACCTGAAAAATAATTAACTTTCTTTTATTTCTATCTAAAATTGAACTCTTTCCACATCCATAAATTTATGAGAGATAATTTGAATGAGTTTATTTATTCATTTCTCACATATTACTGAATTCTACTGTGTGTGGGGTACTCTGTTAGGGATATCAAAATAAATAATATCAATCATGATTAATGGAGCAAACCAGACCTTGTCTTTATGGGTTTTTCTTTTATAGTTGGGGGACAGACAAAAAGCCAATAAATGAAAAAGAAATAAACAATTTAATGTTAGGTAGAGATAAGTGCTGCAGAGATAAAGTAAAGGGACTATAAGTCATAGTGATATTTTAGATAGGGTCAAGGCAGCCTCTTTCTGGGGAGGTAACATCTAAGCGGTGTGCTTGACTACACACTGTATGGATATCTAAAGAGAAGCATGATATGAAAGGGGGGAAACAGCGATGCAAAGGCCCTGAGTTGTTCCACATTTTGAAGACCAGAAAGCAGGTGTGGGAGGAGTAAGAATTTGGGAAGTGACTCCTAGAAGTAATTTAGCATATGAGGGAGGCGGGGAGGTGCTGTTGAGTACTTGGCTTTTACTGGTATCTTTGACAATTACAGATATGTTTCTAAAAACATTCTAGTCATTTCTATAGTGGACGCCCGCCGTGCAGAAACATCCTCAGGCCCCGACCCCCCTTCATTCCTATGTACTCTTTCCTGCAGTCATGGTGAGCGTTGGTTGCTGAAGACTGAGGCCAAGTCCCTCTCCAGCAAGTGCCCCTTTAAGGGAGCTGCCTCACGTAAGCATATACGCCCTCTTGCACTAATGGCAGCCAATGACAGGTCATCTGGGGAGTATAATGGCTCCACCTTTTGCCTCAATTGGGATAATATTAAAGGTGAGAACAGCCTGGAGTCCTCTTTAAGGTGGACTGAGGCCTCTGCTATGGTCTATCCACAGCCCAGTATTTCCCTATGTCCAATCCTGCTTGCCTCACGCCACACAGGTGTTGATCCTGAGAACACACCACTGATTCTCCCTGCAAACAAACCATAGAATCCCAGCATCTCCTTCCTAGAGAACTCAACGGAAGACAAATCTGAACAAACTGCGTTATAGACATCTGTAGCTGTGGATGGAGAAGTAAAAGATGACAGCAAATCTATTCTGACCAGTTGATATAACTGGTGAGTTAATTTCTTTATTAAATTCCTGCTTGAGCTGGCTGCTTGTCACTTGGCTCTTTAAAAGCACAGTTATGCGTGAGGAAGAAGTGGAGAGTATTCTAATGAGTTTGAATCTGGTTTTCTCTCCTTTGGTTGTCTTTTGTTTTCATGAGCCTATCTGTTCATTTAAGGATATGGAATGTGTAATAACAATGTGTGTGAATTGGTGTCCAAAAGTAAGTCTTAAAAGGTTCTGTCAGGGCCATTACCCACTTTTTCCTACTTTTGAAAAATCTAGAGACTCAAAGAAATGCTGCTTAAATATAAAAAATTTAAATATACTTTGCTGTGACTTACGTTGTAGTGGGGAGAAATATTGGGGTGAAGCGTGAAGTGCAGGGGTGAAAGAATTCACCAGAGACAGAGTGAAGAACAGAAAAGGTGGGTTTATTGAAGTAAATAAGGTAGCGGGGGTGAGATGGGAGAGGTCTGCATGGGAAGGAGGATTTGAGGTTCTCTTTTGTACTGTTTTCACGAGCTCTATTACTTCAGGTGCCGGTTTGCACCAGTTATCTGCTGTGACGTCTGGTCTTGGGCACTGGCCTTTGACACAGAAACATGTCCTAGCCCTGCTTCTGCATTCCTGGAGCCGAGCTGGTTTTCCTGGTCATGGTAGTCGGTCTTAGGGCTTTGTCTCCAGGCAGCTTTATGAACTCCCTTATCTAGCCAAGCCTTCCAAACCCGCCTGCTGGGCTAGGAGTGGGGGTTTAGTTTTTAACCTTATTAAATGGTACCCTGACAATAGTATCATGAGTATATGCACTTAGCTGGGCCAAACCTTGTCATGCATCATCTGTACAGGTGTTCAATATTTTGGTACAAAATTGCAAATGGAAAAGGGATTATCATTTACCCACTGAAACAATAGTTTGGTAAATATGTCTGGTTCAAAACAAAATGTGCCCAGCCTGAATGCTTAACTGCTGTTCTCCTGCTAATTACCTGCATGTCATCTATTGCTGCATTTTCCAGTGCGTGGGAGGGAGGGCTAGGAAGGTAAGAGTGGAATGCAGGGAGAGAGACCCAAAGTCATTTGGTGGAGCTTCTGGGAAGCCCATTTAACAGAATCCAATTCAGCTGCCTCCCTTGCACCTCCTGGCTTCCTGGATCTGAGGGCCTGTAATTTGAGGTTATATCAGAATCACTTGTAGGACTTGTTGAACTACAAATTACTGGGACTCACCCCTGGCATTTCTGATGACTGCTGGTCTGAACTGGGACCTGAGGCTTTGCATTTCTGACCAGTCCCCAGGTGATACCCATGCTGCTAGTTGGAAATCACACTATGAGAACCACACCCTATAGCTGCAGTCATAGTCACCATTTTGTGGGCAAAAGATGATCTTGAGGATAAAAGCCGAGTCCTAAGGATAGAAGGAAGCTGGGTTTCTGGCCTTACCTAGAGTCATTCTGTAACGGGGTGGTCCCCAGACAAGGGGGAGGTTCCAGCTTTCCCGCCTACCCAAGGAAGGGTGGAACTGAGCAGGGAGAAGAAGCTGGAGAGGAGACTGAAACAGATGTGGGTTTGAGACCCGTGGGGAGATTAACCATGGCAGCATTCATCTTGACTTTGATTTTGCTCCTGCCCCTGATGTGCTGGGACCTTTCTGCCCCTTTCCTATGGGTCCCTGCCAGGAGGTGCCTTAAACTTGTGGGAGGCATTTGGGCCTCAGGGGACCCTCTTTGGACCAACCCTATTTGGCTGGGCATTTGCCCTCGAGGTGATGGGTATTTCAGGTACTTGATTTGCAAACTTTATTCTTTCCCTTTTCTGTATCGCACACTAACTGTATTAAAACTTCTTTCCATTAAAGGTCTTACCCACTAGAGTATATTTGTCTCAGTACAGCAGATGGCAGAACCTATTTAGAGTGGGCAAGTGTGGGGATTATAGTGTGCTCCTAACCCTGCCCCATAACAATTCTACCTACCTAGATTTCCTGTCCCTGAGAAAAAAAATAAAACCCTAATCTGTTAAACCACTCCTCTTTGGGTTTTCTACTATATGTAGCTAAACCTAATCATATATAAAGAGCTCTCTGACCATATCTAACACTTCCCTCTTCCAATTTTTTTAGAAAATCCCAGGACCTCTTTTTTTTCCTCCAAGTAAATGGAAAATTGGAATATGACCTCAGTATTTGAGCTTTGGCAATGAAGCCTTGAAACTTTGTATTAAGTTTGGCTGTGTGGCTTAACGCTGTCAGTGAATCAGTACTTTCCTGATTATTTTATGAGAGGGTAGACCCTGAACCCTGAGTGTAGATTTGGCAACATGTGGTGGGGAAAAATAACAGGGTGAGACCAGAGACATGGGGGTGAAAGAATTCACCAGAAAGAGAGTGGGGAACAGAAAAGTTAGATTTATTGAAATACACTGCTAAGAGAAAGCAGGTGAGATGGAAGAAGTCTACTCCAGAAGGAGGATTTGAAGCTCTTTTTATAGTGTTTTTTGCAGAATTCCTCACTTGGGGCACCAGTTTGCACCAGTTATCTCCTGGGATATCTGGTATCAGGCACTGACCTTTGACACAGAAATATATCCTGGCCCTGCTTCTGCATTCCTAGATCTGGGCTGATTTTTCTGGTCACAGTGGTCCTTGGTTTTATGGCCTTGTCCTCAAGGCAGCCTTATCAGTTTCTGCTTCCCAAACCTGCCTGCTGGGCAAGGAGTGGGGACTTTATTTCTCACCTTATTAAATTGTACCCCAACACAACACAAGTGATCCCTTCCAAGCTGGAAGTTAAAGTGAGCCCCAAGGCCAGTGCCCCTGACACCACCATGTAATTCTACTCTCCCAGTGGAAACACTTGGGATCAGTGGAGAGTGACTTTTCTCTTATTCAAAAGTAAGGAACCACAAAGCTGTTACCTCCTCCCAGGTATCACTCGCCTCTCTGATGATGACAGGAAAGCACTGCAGTATCTAAAGTTCCTGTGATGAAAGTGTCTTTTCTCATAATTGTACTGTATGTGGAGGCTCCTTGCTGGAGCTCCCTCCTTGAGAATTCTGTGTGCTTGCCCTTTGAAATGGGTTTTTACCGAAGATTAAGAAAGGCTTGACTATCAGAGAGTAGCAAATAAGAGAGGAGATGCTTGTGATTGGAGGTTACTATGGGTCCTTTATTTCTGCTCTCATTGAAATAATGGGCTCAAACTTTTTGTCCCTCCCCACACATTCTCAGTTGCTTGGTGATGCTTGTGGGGGCTCATATAAGGAAGAGGGCAGACCTTGTCTGCCTGTGTCTGTTACCATAGCAGGTATGTTAACCAGGGCAAGTGACTGTTTAGACAGTTGCTGAGTTCTACATGTAGGTGAGTGCTACAAGGACACGAGGCACTGGAAATTGCTTTGTCTGAGACATGAGGGGAAAGCTGCATCGGGAGATGAGGCCATAACCCAGGAACCATTTAAAGGCAGACTATCTGGGAGAAAATAAAAAATTTCATGAACCCTAGCATTATAAACCAAAACCTAAAATTGATCAGCAAATATAGTGATAAAAAGGCCCTTGCCTGATTTCTTAGTTTATAGCCTCTTTCCCCATTTTCAAACTAACATGCCAGAAAATAAATCATTGGTTCTGTAACTTTCTATGGTGCTATGCTGGCTAGGGATCTCAACCAACTGAAGCATCCCTAAAGCTTGTGTTTTACTTCTATGGTTTTCATATTCTCCTACCAGCCCAGTCTGGCCTCTTTCTATCAACAGGCGGAAATGAGGTGGCTTGAGAATGTAAGATGAGCAGCTGACCAAAGATCAGGGCACATGACTGCTTGCCATATGCCTTAACTCAAGCAGAAGTAAATCCCTTCCAGACAGGAGGGACAAATAGAGCAAGTTACAGACAATTTAGGGTTTGTTTTTTTTGTTGTTAACACAGTAACATTAACTACCGACTCTTCTCTGTGGTTGTGATAAGTATTTGGCAGCCCCCAAATAGAGATTTGGCAGAATTCCTGTACACCCTTACCCTTCTCCCCTGACTTCTGGTATTTAGGACCTATCTCCTTTTCTTGGCTTTGTATGTGTGCTGCAAAACTGGGTGTGGGGTAGGTGAATCATGTCCATGGGGTGTGGGATAAATTAGAAGGAGTTTAGCAGAAGTCCAGGGGTCGGACAGGGTCAATCCTGCTATGGAATCTCAGGTGTGGCACAGGATGTTTATGAAGTGAAGTCTTTCATTCATAGTTTCTGGGCATAAACAATGGGGTGAATGTGTGCTTATTCATTCTTACCAAAGTGCAGGAAGGAGAGCAATGATTCAGCACCCAGGTCACTTCTGAATGCTCAAAGAATTCCCTCCAGGGAGCCCATTAAGGTCCACCTACCTGATCACTTTTTAAAGGAAATATCCAATTTTCTGAGGAACTTCCGTCTTTGAATAACACCATCTTTTTACCTCGCCTGAAAAAAATCCTTCCTTTCTTCATGGTGGATGTTGATGGCTTAATAGACATGGAACCCCATAGAATGGGGCCTTTACCTTGAAGTCCAAGAGGGAATAAATCATTGTAAGGGAGCATAGAAAAAAAAGAAAAGGAAAAGTAATTTACTCCCCATGTTAGCATTTGAATTTCCTAACCTTCCAGGCATGTAACCATCACTTTGGTCACTGAGGACTCTAGCAGGGCTCTTTAGATGAGCTCAGCATTGCCAGCATACACCAAAGACTGTAAATGTTAAATAACAAGAAAACAATTAAGTTTCTGGGATGTGCTCAGTGGGTGTTTATTCTTAGCAATCACTGGCATCTGAAGTCCTGGGTTGAGGAATTAGAATCAACAGTTCTTTTTCCACTTCAATTTTTATAACACAGTAGGAATATATATTTCTATTTGCTTTGAACTATAGGCAAAATCTCACAAGCAGGCATATGCAATGGTAGCCAAGGTGCCTGCATTCAAATTCCTCAAAGGAGGTACTCTGGGAGGTTCTGGGATGGCTAAAACTTTTCAGC